CTTAATAACTTGGGTTATATATGTAAGGTAACTTCACATATATTCAGTTATCATCCCAGTTAAAACGCCTGCAGCTGTACTTACTACGTCCCATGGACCTCCACCCAGACCTTCCAAGATCCCTTTATTAAGGAATATACCTTAAATCATATTAGGGATCCTATTATGATTTAAGGTATATTCCTTAATTAAGGCATTTTGGAAGGTCTGGGCAAGTAGATCCTCAATTCCTAACCGGGAGGTTCTCGACATGAAGGGTACCTATTTGTAATTCCTTATGATAAGGATCCTTTTTTGTAGGGTTTAGGGTTAGTGGTTTAGGGTTTAGGGTTCGGGGTTTAGGGTTAAGTTAGGGTTATACTATACTTTACGGACCAAATCTGTAAGCGAAGCTGCCGGCTTGTGGCAGGCATGCTGCCATCCTTGCGCGATCGTGCAGAACCGCAGCTCACTGCTGGCCGCGAAGGCACCCCAATCCCTACACTCCGACTTTAAACCCTCTATCCCTACCTAAACCCTTAATCCCTAAGCTCTACACCCTAAACCCTGAATCCCTAAGCCCTACACCCTAAACCCTGAATCCCTAAGCCCTACACCCTGAACCCTAAACCTTGCGGTTGTCGGGTTTAGGTTGAAGGCCGCTGGTAGATTAGAAGGCGCTGGCAAGAAAAAGTGAAGGAAACCGCAGTCCCTAAAGAGACTGTTTAATCCTCCTGTAGTAACAGTATCCCCGTAAAGTGTTTATCTATCTACCTATATATATATGTATATATATATATATGTATATATATATATACATACAATGTGTATATATATATATATATATACATATGTCTCTGTGTGTGTATGTCGTCGCTGGAAAATACCCCACACTGCTTGCGCATTGTAATTCTCAAGGCCCCCCCCAAACCCCTAAACCCCTAAACCCCTAAACCCTAAACCCTTTGAAGTATCCTCATGGAAACCCTGGTCTGACTTTGACACTCTGGGTCTCTGGGTTTCGATTTCAGAGTTCGACAGAGTCGAAGGGCCGACAGGTTCAGCGATGTCGGGGGGGGCCTGTGATTTAGGATTTCGGATTTGAGAGGAATCTGTAAGATTTCTGAGGGTTTTGTAAGGGTCTGAGGATTCAGGGGATCGTCACAGGTTTCGATTTCCCAAGGTTTAGCTAGCCCTGAGCCCTAACACCCTAAACCACTGGACCATACTTTTGTTGTTTTTTGGTTTCAAGGTTGAGGAGCTCGGCGCCAGAATTCCAGAATTCCTGGCTTTCTCTCAGAAGAAAGCCACCTAAACCCCCAAAACCCCCCAAACCCCCCAAACCCTCAAACCCCTAAACTCCTGAACGCAAAAGCCCCATACCCCAAGGCCTAGCTAAAAGACACGGAGAGGAACCCAAAAGGCCACCCTAAACCTCTGGGAGTTGGTCGGAGACTTGCCGAATGTCAAGGCGTTTTCGGAGTTTAGGCGTTTAGAGTTTAACGTAGGAACCTGATTAAGAAACCCTGGCCCTATGGCCTATGACCCCAAAACAGTAGTCAGCAGGGTTCACACTGATATAAGGAACCCTAACAAAGGCCCAAGGCTTCTTCATCAGGTTCCTGCATTAGGGGTTTTCGGGTTTACGGTTTTAAGGGCTTAAAACACACTCTGGGTTGTTTAAAACAAATTCGTGTGCCCCTTGAGGGCGATAACTTAGTCCATTAGTCATACTCCACTATAGTTTGCGGGGGATTGGGGCCGCAGGTACATTCTGAGTGCTATAGGGATTCAAAACTCGCGGCAGGCTTCCGCTTGTCTCGTTACCAATACTATTTTGCGGGTGCCTTATTATACCAAACCCTAAACTCGCGGCGGCTTGGACCCTGCAAGCTAAGCCTGGCTGAACACTCAGACAGGCGCCTCATTAATTAGAATAGGGTTTGGGGGTCGATGTTACTTTCGCTATGATAAGGGACCACCAAAATAGCATGGGTAATTCATTAGGCCCCCATATTACCTGTAGCTCCAAACCCTACAACATAGTAGGTCACGGTCCCCTAGCTATAGCGTCCAGCTCTCAGAACAGTAGCGTTTTGGATCCTCCGTTAAATATCCTTAGCCCAAAACACTCAAACCCTAAACCCCAAACCCTCGAACCCTAACCCTCAAACCTCAAACCTTACTCCCTAAACCCGTAAACCCCATACGCCTTTGAGAAACTCCGGCAAAAAACTCCTTACGGAGCCCGCCATCACCCTTTCAGGAACCCCCGGGCTCCTTTGAGGAACCCTGGGGCTCCTTTCATTTAAGGAACCCTTGGGCTTCTTGTGACGTCTTTCTTTGGAGCTCCTTGCAGGCTTGGCTGTGCGATCCTCCCGCGACAAGAGAGAGCCATGCCCTCAGCCAGACGATCATAGCTATAGTGGTACTAATGAGAAGAATACGAGAAACTTGGGCACAATTATCGCCATCATCACCACCTGCACCATCATCATCATCATCACCTTCATCTCCACTGACAGCATCATCATGATGATGACCATGGACATGGTCATGATCATGACCATCGTTAGTAATTAGTAGTAATAGTAGGTTCAGGGCTTACGGCCAATACCCTCGATATCATTCAGGAATACCACAACTGTTAGTAAGAAAGCCTACATGACTTAACCAAGCCCGAAGCCCGAACAGATCCTGTGTTGTGCACGCTTTTCGGAATTCCCCTCCAGCCAATTTTACCTTTGGTTAGTAGTGAATGGAAGAATGGTCGTAATAGTAGTGGTTTAATTGTACCCCATTCCTCCATTGCCTACTAACCAAAGGTAAGCAATGCGTCGATCCTAACCCTAAGGGTCCATGTACCCAAATAGTATATACTTTGGGCCCAATGTACCCCTTGTAGGGAGTACTTTAAGGCCAATGTATATACTATTTAGGTACATGGACCCTTAAACCCTTAACCCTAAACCCTTATGATACCCTTTATAGACTCCTTAAAGGAACCCTTAAGGTAACCCTTAAAGGTACATGGACCCGTAGGGTAAAGCCCTGAAGCTTCACAGTGCAGGGCTTATGGGGCTAGTAGGACCTAGAGTAGGCCCTTATTCCCTTTTTAAGGGTTTCAGGTTCTTTTATCTGCCCCTTTAAGCCCAAAAAGGGCACCCTTTTAATTCCTAGGTTACTCCTGGGCTTATATTGGGCTAGGAGATGATAGGAGGGTGCTGGTTTGACGTCCAGGGTCTGGGACGAGCAAACTTCAAAACCCCCTGAAGCCCAATACTGTAAACCCTAAACCCTAAACCTAAACCCTAACACAGAGCCCCAAACAAAAAGAAGAGGGCTGCTACAGAGCTTGCGCTGTTCAGGTGCCAGCCGACGTCTTCCCCAGGACGTTTTCAGCGGGTCTAGGTTCTTGTCTAAACAGTGTTGGAGTCGACAGCTTTTGTTAATGTGGTGCATTAGATGTTGCGGTTTTATACTTGCGGAATTTACTACGGTCCTCAGTAGCGCTTTTTTGTTGTGCTGTGGTTGTTTCTACACTGGTTGAAAGAATCTTTCCGCAACAGTAGGCAGTCTATTCTTGTTGTGGCTGATGTACAGCGACACCGGAGTTGCTGTTATGAGCGATTGCAATCAAGAGCCGTCGTGCCCTACTCGTATAACCTACATAGCCATGAAGCTGACTTCATAAGAGTGCAGTCGTTGTCGTTATAACGCACTCATGTTTGACTCCTTCATGTCATGATGTCGACACGTCACTCCAGGCATATCCGCAGCAACCTGAATTTTGCACTTGCATGCATATACGCATTCGTATGCATCATACATAACTACATGCATGCACGGGCACATAGGTACAAAGCATTCACATACCCACATATACACATTTTCATATATATATATATATACATTATATATATATACATGCATGCATGCATGCATACATACGCAAACATACATGCATACATATAGCACATAGATACGTACAGACAGACATGCAAAAACACATACATACATATATACATACATACATGCGTACATACATGCGTGCATACATTCATTCATACATACGTATATACATGCGCGCACACATACTTTACTGTGCAATTATTGGTCAGGCAATATGACAAATCAACATACCAATGCAACGATCCCTCTTGCTCTCTCTCTCTCTCTCTATATATATATATACATATGTATGTATGGTAATGCGTATATGCGTCTCACACGACGGATGATCCCGGAACATGTCGTTGTCTTACCATCGAGCCGGAGCGACTGCGCTTGAAACGGTTGCAGGCAGAGCAAACCCTGTCGAAGACTCGCAGAGGATGGGACAAAACCGTAACCCCAAAACCCAAAACCCCACGTAAACACATGCGACAATAAGCCCGTAAGGAGCCCCACCTGAACGCTAAAACTCCTCCCCCATGGAGATTTCATGCACACTTTCATTCCCATTTGGTAGAATACGGCCCCACACCTAAACTTGACCACGTCTCTTTCCATAGCATGGGACCATGGCTCAAAGTTAACACTCACTAGCCTGGGTTCAACGTTCAGGAGATGCTCTACTTTGTAATAAAAAAACGTGGTATATATATATATATATATATGCTCACACCCCCCCCCCCCCCAAGACCTACCGCGAGGTGCTTCGGCTGCGACGTTGAGCAACTTCTGGCTTGGTGTTCTATTGTGTTTAGTTTTCGTTTATTAATTGCTTAGCCACTTGTCTTAGTTAGGCAGACAGTTTCGGAAGAGTTAACCATATCGACTACGATTACTGCTGAATATTGTACACTACAGAATGCTATTCGTCATTATTACTCCGTGCTTGCATTGTTTCCGGAATTGTGTGACTTCAAATCGCAGCAAAAGGAAAAATGTTGGAAATCGCATCGCATGCTCAAGCTCGCTGTTGAAGCATGTGCACACGAGGCGTACCTGTTAGTGTAAGCATATTTCGGCACAAAACGATTTCAAGCGCCTTGTCCCTAACTCTTTGTCTCCGTGCAATGTCTGGGGAGTGGGTGTCAGGAGACTTCAATCTTGACGATGTGAAGAAAGCCGTGGATAATCTTAAAGTGTTCCCCATAGACATGCACTCCTTCCACGAATCCCCGAGTGGCCCGCTTACATTCGTGGATCTTCCTACTCTGGATTTCCCGGCGGGTGGCAAGATCAAGTGTTTCGTTGACTTGGTGTCTGACGTGGATATCGAGGTCCCCAAAGCTGTCATCAAGGAAGGCTTCCAATCCAAGACCTACGAAGATATACCAGCTCCTTTCGGGATGAAGTCTAAGATTACAGGTCCCTTCAAGCTTGACATCGCCATCATGCTCCAGCAAAACGGTAAGCACACCGTCATCAAATTGTTCCACTTCCCCCAGCTCATGAAAGTTGACGCGGCTCGGGATCTTTGTTACGGCACGCCTTACTGCTTCAACTGGCAGGGGGAGGTGAAAACCATGAAAAAATGTATTCACTTTGTCTTCGAGCGGCTAGGTGGCTTCCAATGTCGTCAACATGTGTTTAGGCAGTCCGAGGAGGGCAAGCCGGAAAGCGAGCGGTCGCAGGAGGAGTGGGACTTTGGGTTTGACTTCATAGAGCTGAACGGCCCTCGCGAAAACATTAAAAATCGCATGTTGCGGTGGGTGACGGTTCAAACTAGCAACAAGGACTCGCCAATCTTCCGTTGGCCCCCAGTCTTAGTCGAGAAGTCTCTTCGAAACCTCGCCCAAGACGGAGTACTTGCGCAAGTTCATACGTCATGGTGCTTAACTTTGTATGACATCGACGTGCGAGTTCTCAAGGCACTGGCCCCGTTGTTTTCATCTTTCTCGGAAAAGGCATTGGGTTTGTTCGGCGAGCCGGGCGCGGGCAAAACCCCGGTGGCAAGGTCGGTGGCTATGGCTCTGTCGCGCTACTACATCAACCGCATCGGTAAACAGGGCGAGGTTGAACCATCATTCCGACAGGCGTCGGAGTTTGATTTCTTTCGAGGTCAATCTGGGCAGGTTTCTCGGTTCAACACAAGTCATTTATTGCTTAATCTTGTATATTCAAGAACTCGTGACATTGAAGTTGTTTCAACTGGTTTGCGCTGCAAGTTCCAAGATTCTTCGTCCCGACATTTTCGATGACGGCACCCTCCCTGAGCAACCGTTCAAGAAGCTCAAGGCTTTCACGGATGTTGGAAACATTGAAAGTATGTCTAAGGAGCGGTGGGGTGCCGCAAAATGGGTGAAAGGGCAGCCCCGCATCTATTGTGTGAACGATTACGATCGCAAGGCGGAGCCCAAAAACGACCTCCCCATCCTATCCCATCGTCAAGGCATCATCTCCTATGCCACTCACGGTGACTTTCTCAACATGCTGGAACCCGCTTGGTGTCCCAAGGACAAAAACGAGGCAAATGTCATGGCGGTTTTGAAGCGGACGCACATCCTTCTCAAGACCAAAACCTTTTTGTATGTCAGGCCCGCTAGCGAGAAAGAGTCGCCAGTACTTCGTATTCCTTTGGACGACAAGCTGGATTTGTTGCATTTGGAATCTCGCTCCGTCTACGACTACCATCGCAAAGGTGGCACGAACATGCCCGCAGATTTCGATAGCAAGGTTGCGTGGGAAACGGAGTGGGTGGAGAAAGCCATGAAGGGGAACATTTCCGGGTTAAAGTACAGGCCCACCATCATCAGAAAGAATATCTTCGCAGACCATGTCGAATCTCATCCACAACCACGATTGGATCTAAGCCATGCCCTTGTCAGGAATGTGAGCAATCTTTTCGAGACCCCAAATCCATCCTCTTCGGCTAGGCCTCATGCGGACAAGTCTACGGGTGCAGATGTTGAGCCGAAGCCTGCAACGCACACATCTACGTGTTCCGATGCTCAGCCCTTGAAGAAAGTCAAGCTTGAACCCGGCATTTTCCGAACGCTTACTTCTTCAGAGGTCGGGGGGACCACCATCGATTTGGATTCTTCGCCAGAGAAACCGCCTCGTCCATCAGTCGTTGAGGAAAGCCTCACCCAGCAACTCGAGGAGCAAATGCGGCAGGCCGAGATTCCCAACCCAGGTTCACCCGAATTTCCTTGTGGGGACGAGGCAGGAGATGCTCATGATGAAGAGGATCAGCTTTCATTTGGTGGTGATGCCATGGATGTCGCGGAGGATATCCATTGAGGATACGGTGGCCTTTGTGCGAGTGAGTGTGCGTGTGTGTGCCAGTGTGTGTCTGTGTTTGCATGTGCGCGCATACCGAAATGCGAGTTGATATAACATAGGTTGAGTGTGAAAGTGTATGTGGCGCGTGGAGCAGACACAACAGCATCGACCGTGCTGGTAGGTTTTGTTTCCCTCGAACGAAAACCAGAGTTCAGTTCACTGCACAATATACAGAATGTGTAGTGTTGTTTGTGTCGTATCAGTCGACGTCCTTAAAACTCGAAAGCAGAACATTATCATCAACACAATCTTTATAAGAAGAGGGGCTGTCAGCAGAACACAATGGCAGAGTCATAACGGCATTTTCTCACTGTGTGCTTCGAAAATATGTGCGCTCCACATCAGCTGTGCGTGCAATCACTCCTCAGACAGAGCATTCGTTTGTCAACGTGAAACACGTGTATGCAGCGTCTCTGTTCGAAGAGTTTTGTTTTTCGGTTGTACAGCACCATGCCGAAGAAAACCATGAAAAGTAGCAGTCATCGTGGAGCCTGGCCCGCCCCTAAAAGGGGCAAGGCCAGATCTGTCGCAAAGCGGCCTTCCAAGAAAGTCGTGTCCAAATTCGCCAAGATCCCCTATGTGCGTCATGGGACCCCAAGTACAGTCAGTAGGCCGAGTCGTGAGCGGTGGGGCCGTTCCATCCAGAGGTTCGCCTCCATGAAATATCCAAGTCTTGTTCGTCTTCTTCGGCAAGATCAAATTATCCCCGAATGGAGCAACCGGCCATGTCCGCATTGTGGAGCGGGCAAGTTGAACAAGCTTACGTTCTACCCGTATCGGAAAGTTTGGGCGCACAGATGCAGTGCGAAGTTTTGCCAAAAGTATGTCCAACCCCCCGAATTTCATCCCATTTTTGTTCAGGGAGCTGGTGCCAGCCAAACCAGTCTTCAGACACAGGCCTCCATCCTCCTGTGCGCCACTGCCGCCGTGCCCCAGCATTGCGTGTCCAAGATCATGGATGTCAACGACAAGATTGTATCGCGCATCTACAACAACCTTGACATCGCACGTGCACGCTTCGTACTCGCACATGAGAAACACATACAGTATGGTGGGAGTCCTCGTTGGGTGGATGTGGAGGCTGACGAGGTCGATTTGGGCAAAGGGTTAGTGGAAAACAATGACAAGCGCAAGTTGAACACAAGGTGGGAGCAGTGGTTGGGAGTGGTTCAACGTGGTTCACCCGCAAGTCTTCGTCTCATCAGGCTCGAACCGCCGCTCACAAAAGCGCGATCCCCCGGACCAGGACCCATCAGGAAACGTGATTGGAAACCAGTGGCCAAACAGTATTTGGAGGGCAAGAGAATCGTGCTCCACACGGATGGTGCGAGAGCATACAAGCTAAAGCTAGATCAAGTGGAGCATTGCAATGTAGTGCACAAGAAAAAGAAAGTGAAGGTGAACGGCAAGGTGGCACGACAGAATTGAGCAACTTTTGATTGACGGTCTGCTGGGTTTCGAACTTTAGACTTTAAAACTGTTATCTTGTTAGCAACTTACTTTGGCTAAGAACAAGCCAACAATGAGAAAAAATAAGCCCCATTTTGTTAACCGCAGTCGTAGATTGTTCCGAATACAAAGCTCGTAGACGTTAAGAGTTGTTCTTAACACGCCCGACCCGCCACTTTGTTACGCGTATGTCTGGGTTAAGCAAGCCAACAATGAGGAAAAAAAAGCCCCATTTTGTTAACCGCAATCCTCGCTCATAGTTTACATTGAATACAAAATAGGGTATTATACAGTAATTTTCTTTTTTCTGTTGGCTACTCTAGTGCTCAGGTCATGTGGGTGAAGCCGCATTACACCAAAGTGCACAGCCTGTCTTTGCCAGACGGCAACAAGCTCAAGGTAAAGAGTGGGACGCAGATAATCGACAGATGTTGGCAGCACCTACGTTCCCACCTGAAGTACGCTCCTCGTTTCCCCGGCAACGATGTCATGATTCGCAAGATCCGCAGCGCGCAGTGGGTGTATTGGCAAAAGGGGAAGAGTTTGTGGACAGCAACAGGGGCAATGATGAAGTTTCTGTGCATGTGAGCGGTTGTTGCAATAGTGAGGGCTTCCGGACAAGTTCCAGTTTTGAGTCTCACGGAGATTTTGATTGCGGACAGGCATGTGCTGGGGTCGCTTCAAAACAATGGTTCATACATCCATCCAATCAACCTTCTGCTTCGCTTTGGCTTTGTGCGAGATCTGCTGCAAATGCTTCCGCAACGAAGCCATTTCCTGTCAAGCAGGCTGCACGCTAGACTAGTCGCAAGATTCCCAGCACCAAAAATCCAAAAATCCAAAACCTTTGTCAGGGGGGTCGAAACTTTTGGATTTTTTGGTTTTCCTAGGGTTTTTTTGGTTTTCCAACAGAAAACCAAAAAAACAAAGGTTTTTTTGGTTTTTCAGCAGAAATCCAAAAAATCACAGGTGTTTTTTGGTTTTGCACCAGAGACACAGCAGACAAACCAAAAAACCCTTGAGTTTTTTTTGGTTTTCCACCGAAAATCCAGAAAAAAACCATGGTTTCGCCAAGGCAAAGCCCAAAAAAACAAAAAAGACCTAGGAAAACCAAAAAATCCAAAAGTTTCGGACCCCTCAGAAAGGCTTTGGATTTTTGGATTTTTTGTTTTTTGGTTTCCGCCGAAACACCACAAAACCAAAAATCAAAAAAAACAAAAATCCAAAACCTTTGTCAGTGGGTCGAAACTTTTGGATTTTTTGTTTTCCTAGTGTTTTTTTGGATTTCCAACAGAAAACCAAAAAAATCCAAGTGTTTTTTTGGTTTTCCAGCAGAAACCCAAAAAACACAGGTGTTTTTTGGTTTTTCACCGGAGACACAGCAGAAAAACCAAACAAACATTGAGTTTTTTTGGTTTTCCAGCAGAAATCCAAAAAAAACACAGGTGTTTTTTGGTTTTGCACCAGAGACACAGCAGAAAAAACAAAAAAACCTCGAGTTTTTTGTTTTCCACCGAAAATAAAAAAAACATGGTTTCGCCAAGGCAAAGCCCAAAAAACCAAAAAAGACCTAGGAAAACCAAAAAATCCAAAAGTTTCGGGCCCCTCAGAAAGGCTTTGGATTTTTGGATTTTTGTTTTTTTGGTTTCCGCCGTCGTATCGTGTGGTTTCTTTTAATGTTTCTTGCTTATGAATACAGGCATATGAATTTGAAAGCGGACATGAGTAGGCACGACGTTGTAAAGAGACATGACTTCACATCGGCCATGATAGAGAAGGTATCATCACCGAAAATTACGCAAAACACGAATCGTATGCCAAACGGGAATCCCTGCCAAGAGAAGGTTTTGACGGTATTTACAATGGAAAAGAGGCCGAGGTAGGTCATGGGGGGGGTGTGTCCATATATATATATATGTATATAACTATCCGAAAATGCTGTCTTTGTACGGTACCCTATTCAGGATCGTCAGATGCTTAGCACGAGTACCAACAACTCCTCAACCGGCGACCCTTGACGAAACGAAGCAGACGCAACAACAGTCAACTTCCCTTTAGTTGCTGAGTTCACAGGCCCCCCAAAAGTGTACACTTTCAGTTTTTTGGGGAATATTATCCCCGAAAAGTGTAAAGTGTATCCACTCAGCTACTAAGTTCCTCTTCTGCAACGGGCAGGACCCATGGCAGAGCTTTGGGGACACACGCGTCCCAAAGGCACGGACACGCTGACAGACCCAAAGGCCCCATGTACCTTTATAGTAGGTACTGAAGCCTTAAAGGGGTCCCTATATAGATATTTTCAGGTGTGTCCACTGTGGGGTGCAACCTGTATAAGTAGATTCAGAATCATGGTTTGCATGAGCGTTCTGGGATTCCGGCTCCAAGCCTGGAAGATTCCACCCATCCCAGCGTGAGTCACGCACACAGTGACTCTTGCTTCCACAGGCAGAGTCGGGCACAGCCACCGCCCAGCAAGCCTTGTGGCAGCTACCGAACCCACTACCCCGCGCCCCTCGCCCCTGCAGTGCACCCTATAATCTCTAACACCATCGAACCCTAAACCCTAAAACCTAAACCCTAAGCCCTAAACCCTAAAAAACCTAAGCCCTAACCCCTAAACCCTAAACCTTATACCCTAAACCTAAGCCCTAACCCCTAAACCCTTCACAGGGCTTCTGGGAGCTGCGATCTTCCAAAACTATTTTAGGGTTCAGAGTTAGGGTTTGTTTAGATTTGGAACCGACAAAGCACAATCTAATAGGTTTTAGGGTTTAGGGTTATAAGTTTCAGTTCAGGGTCTGTGTTTTAAGATGTTTTAGGGAAACGTTTGTAGTGATGTCCCTGTACACTCCCAACATAAGCCATGCGTGGCATACAGCCGCATAAATGCACCAACGTTTGCAAGATACAAGTACGTACAACAAGTAGAATATGCTCTGTGTGTGTGTGTGTGTGCCGGTCTCTGTTTGAGTCTGTCTGTGTGTGTGTGGTGGGTCGTTTTCATCCAAAGAGACATAGCATGGCTTAGGCATGACGGCTTCGTGATTAGTTCGGCTTCAAACACTCGATATTTCTATACTTAGACATCAAGGCTTCAACAGCTCTATAGTATGGGAGCTTCGTGCGAAAGCATACGCTGAAAAGCGAAGGCTGTGGACCCCGTATCCTCAAACCCAAAGGCTCCATGTACCTTTATAGTCATTAGGAACCCCACCCTAACTCCAACTCGAACTGGAACTGTTCCAGTTCCAATTCGAGTTCGAGTTCGAGTCACTCCACCCGCACGACCCATTCCGCTGGGGCTTGGACCCCTTGCTAACCCTGAACTCGAACTCGAACTGGAACAGTTCCAGTTCCACTTCGAGTTCGAGTTCGACACACCCCACCCACCCTCACGACCCATTCCCTTCGGCCGTGGGCCCTTGGTAACCCTGAACTCGCACTCGAACTGGAACAGTTCCCCGGTGCACTGAGACTGAACTGCAACTGAAACCGAATGCTTCCCCCCCCCCAAAAAAAAATGCACCTGAAACTGACACGGAACGCCCCCCTCCCTCTACACTCAGACTGCACTGAAACTGAAACTGAACGGCCCCCCCCCCCCGCCGGAAAACAAAATTGCAGTGATACTGAAACTGAACCCGCCCCCCTGTGCACCCCCCCCGAAAAAATTTTGCACTGATACTGAACTGAAACTGAAAGCCCCCCCCTTCCGGAAAAGTTTTTGCAAGGACAATGAAATGAAACTGAGACTGAACTGAAACTGAAACTGTACTACTACTACTACTACTACCACTACTACTACTACTACTACTGCTACTACTACTACTACTACTGCTGCTACTACTACTACTTCTACTTCTACTTCTACTACTACTACTACTACTACTACTTCTACTACTACTACTACTACTAGTACTACTACTAGTACTACTACTACTACTACTACTACTACTACTACTGCTGCTACTACTACTACTACTACTAGTACTACTACTAGTACTACTACTACTACTACTACTACTACTACTACTACTACTACTACTACGACTATACTACTCGTGCTACCAGAACAAGCAACAGCACGTACTGTCTCTGGAGGACGAAGCATTGCACCCGTGTGATGCCAACTGTTGCTGTCATTTGCTGTCTTTTCTCGGCAGATACCACTTGCTTCCAGGGTAGAGGCTCCGCCCGAGAGGGTTCGATTGTTTCGATATCCAGACGGACCCACTTCCAGGCACTTGTGCAACTGCTTTTTCTCGACATGTATCCGGGCCGAAGACTCGTCGATCACTCGGAGTCACGCAAATGCATTTGGAAGATTTGGAAGTGGAAACGTAAATGAGTATGTGTTTCCTCCACAGACTTGCCCAGCTGCCGCGAACTGCGGACATTTATCGCTGTAGGTCCGCGTCTTGTGTTCCGCGGCGTCTGCTGTTTCAAACGTTTGGCATGCTGTGTGGCAGTCGCAATTTTGCGAATGCCACTGCAGGCCTTGCTGGCTTCCAGGTGGCCCATGCCTGCGTCTAGCTCACAGAGACCACGCAGCTCACGCACACGTACACGCACACGCACACCCACACACATGAGACAAAGACAGACACACGCAGACACGCACACACCCCCACACACACACAGACACGCGCACACACAGACACAGACACACACACACACACACACACTCTCTCTCTCTGACACAGACACACACCCTCACTCGCACGCTCTCTCGCTGTGACACGCACAAACACTCACACACGCGGACACACGTTTACGTACGCACACACTTACTTACTTACTTGCTTACTCATAATACTTACTTACACACCCACACAGACAGCCTCGGCAATTAGCACGACAGATCGCTCGATCGTGGCGGCGTGGCTTTTTCTTCAGACGGCCGAAAGGACGTGTTGCCACTGCGGCTGTGCCACCTGTCCGCACGAGTTTTTGCAACGCGTTTTGCTAGGCCCACTCCATGCAGGGCTCCGTGTTTTCGCATTGCCTGACTGCGCCAAGACAACACTACTCGGCGGCCGCTTCTGCTGCTTTTGCGGCAAGCAGGGTCTTCCTGATGGAAGCGCCACGTGCGACGCCGAAGCTGCAGGTCCACGTGAAACGGAGCCCAGGCTGCATCTAGCTGCGTATTCGCATGCTTCGGACTTGCACTCATATTCGAGCAAGCTGCGTTTGACATCGCCAAGGTATGTGTGGTGCGCGGCTGCGGTGTGCGCACCGCGTCACAACTCAAAGCCGCGCACCTCATCAGGCATGCCGCCACCACGAAGCTACTACTACTACTACTACTACTACTACTACTACTACTACTACTACTACTACTACTACTACTACTACTACTACTACTACTACTACTACTACTACTACTACTACTACTACTACTACTACTACTACTACTACTACTACTACTACTACTACTACTACTACTACTACTACTACTACTACTACTACTACTACTACTACTACTACTACTACTACTACTACTACTACTACTACTCTACTACTACTACTACTACTACTACTACTACTACTGCTACTGCTACTGCTACTCTGCTACTACTACCACTACT